TCTATTCACCCGCAGACGTGTCTTTCCATATAAGTTACATCTTATCAAATCCTACATTTGTCAAAATTTAGATACACAAAATCAGAACTGATACTCGCAAAAGTAAGGGAAATCCACCGCCTATCAAGTATACAAAGATATCCACGTTCAAGTTTACCTAGTTTGTGGAAGCTGTTTGCTTCCCACATTTTCTTTCCAATTTCAAATTTCACCATTCTATGTCGGTCATTGTCATTTTCCATTCACTGAACAAAGATACCTAACTCATCGGTGGAGTCACCGATTAGAATAAAAACCAGGGAATTGCTAAACATCCTATACACTTGAAATTGACGAGCAAGCAAATGTTGGCGGGAATCTGAATGTTTTCATACTTTATCGTCCATCTCTTTTAATTGAAAACGTCAATTGCTTTGCGCGTTCCAGTGCTTAGAGTGTCGTACACTTGAGCTACTCATTTCTGTTATCCCCTGCCCCCTCGTGCACCAACCCTTTTGTCTGTGATTCATGCTCCTGAAATCCGAAATGGTGGGGGTTAAGACGAGAGCGTTCCAGTGCTGCTTATGTCAAACAGTTCAAGAGCGTCACACTTCAGGAGCATGATACTCTTAACAATTTAGGCTCTGGAAAGCGGCTCTGATAGACTCGGGGATTCGCCAATCTACTTGAAGGAGCAGCCAAACTCAAACATAACCAAACTTTAGCCGCTTTCTTTTTTTCCATCGAGCTATTCTCCATTATGATTAAGTCATCTTGATTTCCTATGTACTAGAAAGTGATAGACTGCTCATCTGTAGGTTCGCCGGTGAAAAAAGAATGCGCCCTTTCAAATTATTATTAAATTGCTGAAAACTGTCGATCCGGCGGTCCGGTCCGGTTAGGAGCCGGAATTCCCGTTCCGGCCGGATCGGCCAAATACCCGATCCGGTACATCCCTAGTTATGACCTTTCAAAGTTTTCCAAAATCTAAATAATCATAAGGCTACCTTCTTACTAAAACAATGAAATTTCAAATTTTTTTTTGTTGAGATTTTGTGTCCTAATGGTCATTTGGGATCCCCCAAACTCCATGCACTAAATTATTCTCAGATTTGAAGCCGAAATCTATGAAAAAAGGCACTCAGAAAAATTGAAAAATTGATAAATCACCCCATATTGCTTAACACGATTTTATCTCAGGAACTATAAGTCCAAATCAGGTGAAATTTTCAGAGATTGTAGTCCTCTACTGGTATAAGAATCGCTGAAAATTTCAGCTTTCTATCTTAAATAGAAAAAAAAGTTATGACCTTTCAAAGTTTTCCAAAATCTAAATCATAAGGTTCCTTCTTACTAAAACAATGAAATTTCAAATTTTTTTTTGTTGAGATTTTGTGTCCTAATGGTCATTTGGGATCCCCCAAACTCCATACACTAAATTATTCTCAGATTTGAAGCCGAAATCTATGAAAAACAACAGCAAAAAGTTTGCAGTTCCTCAAAATAAAACCCAGCATGTTGAATGCCTTCACTGTGACATAATTTATATGCTCCACAAATATTAAATTTTCATCAAATATAACTCCCAAGTCTTTTATTTTCAAAACATAATTTAGAGGCAGCCTATCCAAGGAGTAGGCAGTGTCGAACTTAAGGTTTAAAGTCAACCCCCATTTTCTGAACCTTGTGTTCAAAAATTCCAAAAAAAATATATGTTTTATGGTTATTGATATACTTTAATCCATAATTTTTTTAAGCAAATTTGACTCGCCATTTTTGAGTTATATCGCAAAAACTGAAAAAAGTGGTTTTTCACCATTTATTTCAAAACGAATAGATGAAGTTTCCCGTTATTTTTATTACGAACTACTATTGCAATTCTACGCGACATATATTTTTTTCAAATTGCTGTAATAAACTATAGGCCTGACTTTAAACCTTAAGGTACGGTTTGTTAGGAGAGTACCACAGAACATATCACATATAGAAAAATATCTCAAATGGAAGAATCGCGACAAAGGTTTTTAGTTAGGTTTTCATTCAACGATGGCGACACTGTCGGGAGATAAGAGAAATTTACAGGTATCTGTGGTGTGGACAGTGATTTGTGTTGGTTGGTTTTGTCATTTATTTTGTCATTTTAAAAGTCAAAATTTGAATTTTTAAATTGTGTTGTTGTACCCCACGGTTTCCACGCGCGTTAAAGTGAAAATTCAAAAAGTTTTGGTTGAAAAAAAACCTAATTTTTGTTCGTATTTTTTTGCATTTATTCGTTTGTTTCGTTTCGTTCGTATTTGTATTTATTATTCGTATTTACTTTGCGATCTACCTATAACTGCGTGTCTCTTGCTAACTTACTAACTCTTTTTGCACTATGTTCGACATCGGAAACTTCCTGCCAGTCATAGTTTTTAAAAAAATGAGGCGAAAAGAGCTAAGAGGAGTCAGCAAGCCAAATGCAGTTGAACATTAAAAATTATACAAAAATAATAAAAATATATGAAAAAAATCAATTCGCCTTTTTGTCAAGAATACTCGATTAGTTGGGTTTTCAGTCAACGAGGGCGCCGTAATTCATAACCGGTACATACCATTGCAGATACTTTTCTAGAGGTGATATGTTCTGTGGAGAGTACGCGTCGCACAACTGACAACGTAAACGTCGTCATTGGTTCAGGTATGACCATAGGTATGACTTACACCCGTTTTCTCACATCAGAAGACGGGTGTACGTCATACCTGAACCAATGACGACGTTTACGTTGTCAGTTGTGCGTCGCGTACTATCCTAACAAACCGTACCTTTTAAGGCCGAAACCCACTAGCAACACGCCACGTCATGCTTCGCCACGCCACGCCATGTGACGAAAATGTATGCGTATATTTTTCCATTTATTTATATGTGCTGCGTACACACTTGCCATACGCGATACCACGCCATGGCACGCCACGCCATCCGTCCATTTGCACACAAACTGTCCCACGTGAACCTGTGTCACATGGCGTGGGGTGGCGTGGCGTGTTGCTAGTGGGTTTCGACCTTAACGCTTTGCCTTGAAGTCATCAGCGAACCACTCAGTGAACGATAAGCCATCACTATTCTGAAGACAGTCAAATATAAAGTCTGTTTTTTTTTAAAGATAATTCCCCAAGTCAAAAATTTAGTAAAGTATCAAATTAATTTGTAGTCAGGCATCCTCCCAATCCACACTAGCTAAAAAATTATTGAGCTCAAAGTAATTGGCATTTGTAAAGTCATAGTAAAAATCTTGTTAAAATAAATTGGATTCCTGTTTTCCATTTAAATTTTATATAACAATTTCATACCTAACATGGTGAAAACTATCATCTAATATTGTGTCTAGCTCAACCTACTTCCACACTACTGTCATTAGAAAACATGAGATCTAACAATACATTTCTGTTGTTAGGAATATTAATTACTTTATTACACCATACGATTTACCTGAGCAATTAACTTGAATTCCATATCCATCATTCGACCAACAAACTTCTGGTAGATTATAATCGCGAAAAAAATAAATTTTCTGAGAGTTTTGGAGGTGTAATACATTCTCGAATGCCTCACTATGAGCTATGTAGTAAGTTGTTTCTGGCATGTTAGGAGGAATGTATACCCCAGCTATAATAAATTTAGACCCGTTATAAGCACATGAGATAAATGCATGCTCTCCTGGTTCACTTGAATTCGGCTAGTTGAAATTTTCTTGTTAAGAAAAATCAGAACCCCGCCACCACTGGACTTTAAAGTTAGAGCACTCCACACCATTCACAGCCCCATTTCTAAATTTTTCCATAAATAAATACTGTGTATTTTCGCCACAGTACATTGTAAGTACTTGGCCTGTTTATGGAATTCCCATTTAATTATTTGTTTTTATATCAATTACATTCAAAATACACTAATCCAAACTCTAAAGTAAATTTAGATATGCATTAAAAATTTAAACTAATATGCCACTTCTCGTAATTCCTGTTACATGCTTATGTAGTCATTTTTACGAATTATGTTTACCTAATTTGGCAACTGGGAATCACCACTTTTTTACATAGCCACTTGGAATTGTCGCAAATGCAGCAATTTCAATAAAAATTGATATTAATCTATTGATATTAATAGCCAAAATTTCCCCTGCTTTATGAAATTATGTTACGCATTTTTTTGAGGAAATATTTATTAGGTACCTAATTAAATATTGCCTTTAAGTAGACTGCGAAAAGTTTGAAAATATCTTGTAATGACTCAATACATTTCTTTTATAGTCATTCGCAGAAATGTAATTTCTTATAAATAATGATTTCACAATATGTGACAAGGTAAAGTTTGGGGATTTTGAGTACCTCATTTGAAAATTTTGTTATTTATTGATCTGGATAGGTGTGGAAATTTACACCAATCACTGCTTATTGAGTCATGTAAAATATGTATATTGTATGTTTGTTCATTTGGCATTTTCCATAGTTAATGCTATAGTAAAACGAGTAGTAAAAGTATGCGCATCTGCTTTTATTTAAAAATGGAAAAAAGGCAAATGCCTCAATTCCCACTAATAAAAAATGCTTCATTTGTGAGTAGAGGTAACAAATTCTTCATAACTATTGAACAGAAAAAAAAGCACATGCATGGAAAACATAATCGTAGTTAGTTACCCTCTGCAATAACAACTTTTTTGGTGTCTGTTCATATTACAACTATTTAAATCTGGATTTACTTTTGGCAAGTGTGTGTAAGAAACTTGCAAATAGCATTTTTATTACATCATGTATCTTCAATGTTTTAGAAACAACAACAAACAACGTTTTCGATCGTATTTTCAACCAGATGTGAGTTCCCTTGTACTTCCTTATGAAAAACATTCCAATTTTTTTCATTATCATTTCAACTTTGTTCACGATTGTTAACCTCAGTATACATAATAGTAAAAGGGTTAATTTTATTTTGCATTAAAAGGTAATCTGACCAATAAAGACAAAAACTTTAACTTCAATTTTTTTTTCAGGCCCATACATGAAGCAGTAATAAACAACAATATTTCGATGGTAAAGCAACAATGTGTAACTTTGAGGATCAGAAGACAGTCCGTCAACTTGAAAAACCACAGTGGCTGTGTAAGTTATTTATTCAATTTTCAAATGAACCTTTCAAAAAAATCCATTAGAAAATGTACAAACATTTGAGCCTTGAATCCCAAGTCCAGTTTCTATCAAGTCTTGGTCTTGAATTATGGGTTTTTAAAGTCTCACTATTTTTCAAGCTTGGAGATAGGACAAAGTCTAGTGAAACTCCGGACATTTGTAGTAAAGTGTATGTAAAACTTGCAAGAAATCAAGTTGAGTCAAGATTTGAGTGATAGATTTTATTTGGATCATAAAGTTTGCCTTTTTGTTCTCTATTAATTAAAATACCATTTGAAGACTCTAGATGCGGTGTACATACAAAAACTTATTTTCATTAAATCCCATAAAATTATAAATTTCTCTACTTTATTCAAGGTAATATGACAAAGCAATATTTCTAAATCCTATTTACAAATGAAAATCATATTATTCCATGGAAAATATCATTCTGACTAAAATAGAATCCAGAGAAATTGAGAGTGGGTATTTACCTAGATAGATAATGAAACCAAAAAAATTCTTTGTAAAATTTTTGATAAAAATTTATTTAGGCTGATAAGGCTTCTGAAAAAAAATCATTATCTAATAATGTACCTTGTACCTGTCAGGTTTTTTTTGGGTTGGACCGGGATTCACATTTAAAAATTACCCAATTAATAGGAAATTGTTCAACTTCGGCCCAATTTACTTTGATAAACTGTTATTCTTTCAAATACATTTGAAAATTTCCTTTTAGAATTACATCAACACAAACAACAATCTGTTTACCTTAACAACATTCTCATGTATTGATAATAATTTTATTTCCTTTACTATATTTACGCAGCAGGGTTTATAAACTTACTGTTATCAGTATTTCCAAGTATTTGCACAAATTTTCTCAGAACCTACCTACGCATAGAATCCTGATATTAAATTTACAAGTCCGATATTTTAGATTATTAGGGTTTGTAATCCAATAGAAATTCTGGCCCAAAAAATTACCGTATTTGTCTCTTGAATCCTAGAATTTAATTATATTTTTATTGCTTAACCAACCAACCATTATTTGGAGCAAAATTGAATGGGTATACTATACAATGGTTTTTAAAGAAATTGGAACTAGTATGTATGAGAAAGTCAAGTCAGAGTTGAATAATTGAAGTAAGGATTATCAAGCATGTGTCAAGCATTTTGTCTAGAAATGCTCATTTATTATTTTTCCACTTATTTCTCGCTTTCAGTAACGTTTATAAAGATCATTAACCTGATTTTTCTATACACGGTTTCCTCTGAACGAAACTTGAGGAACTTCTTCTCACTTCATTACATTTTTTTCTTTTCGATTAAGAAAATTGGTAAAGTGTCTGTTGAATTTTTTTGTATGTTTGATGTTTATATATTAATTTTTTAATTTCAATTATTCATTAAATCCCACATTTCTCTTGTTAAACAAATAATTATTATGGAGATGCTTTACTATACAGGGTGTATATTTTAAGTGATACCACTATTGCTATATTGGAAACGGTAAGAGCTACAAGGTCGGTTAAATTAGAAAAAAGTTGCCTTTTTTGATGCCCATTCAAGACTCGTTTACAGTATTGCCAAATTCCCTATAGTTTATGAAATACAGGGGGATTTCTAAAAAACGCCGAAAAATATTTCATCAATTATTTCGAAAACTATTGATTTTCGAGACACAATTTAAATTTGAAAGTTTTATAATTTTTTTCACTCTACAACATGGCATCTTCAAATGTTTAATCCGACGTTTCGTGATCGAGCTACCATCATCAACTTCATTTTTTTAAATACGGCCCTGGATTTTTTATGTCATTTTTAGAAAGCGCCTTTTATTCCCTTTTAAATGATATAACTCTTAAGTATGATTGGCCGACGTTTCTGCTCTAAAAAGTGATCATCAGTGATTTTTACCAAAATTTCACCTTAATTCGGCCCTGAAATTCGTTAGTTGTGTTTTAACAAAGACAGTCTAACAAGTACTTTTTTCCTTTATTATTTAGAACAAAATTAACAATAGCTATTCAGGGAACAAGTGTGTGAAGTGAACCTTTTCTCACGAATGTGAATTTTGTGACAATCACATGAGTGAAAAAAGGTTCACTTCACACACATATTGCATTAAAAAAAATTTCTACTGCCAATAAAATATGCGTAAAAAAATAAATTCAGACAAATACTTCACGCACTAGTGTGAAAAGTGTTTTCACTTTACGCAGTAGCGCGTGAAGTAATTTGCTAGAAAAAAAATTGAAAGTGTGACATTAGTGTGTAAAGTGAATTACTTTACGCACTAGTGCGTGAAGTGAAATTTTACGTATTTTGCATAGTGCGTAAAGTGAGTACTTTACGCAAGGTGGTACAAAAAATAATTTCTCTAACAACTTAAAATTATTTAATTATGAACAATGATTAAAAAAAAAAATTAGTTAGAAACTAATTATTATTGTAAATACTCAAATTGACGTCCATTATTCCTTAAGCATAATCTGCAATTCCTTACAATTTTTTTTTGAATATTATTTAATATTCTTTCATTTATTTTAGCACATGCAGCCCTTATTCTCTCTTTCAATTCTTCGATTGTCTCTGGTGTTTTTCTGAATACGTAATCTTTGACAAGACCCCATATGGAAAAATCAATTGGAGTAAGGTCTGGGGACCTAGGAGGCCATTTTATGGGACCATTGTTTCCTATCCAGTTGTTGCCTTTAAATCTATCGAGGAAACGAACACAACATCGTGCACGATGTGCCGGGGCGCCATCGTGTTGGTAGTACTCAAATCTACGCAGGTCATTTAATGGTAGCTCATCAAGCATTTCTTGCAGGTTTCTTCGCATAAATCTCAGATAGCTGACAGCTGTTAAATTTTCATTAAAAAAAAAGGTCCCACGACTTTAGAAGCTAAAATTCCTATCCATACATTAACACCAAAACGTTCCTGAAATGCTGTTTCTCTGTGATAATGTGTATTTTCTTGGGTCCACTTGTAGTGAATATTTCGATTAAACCAACCATTGTTGGTGAATCGGCTCTCATCGCTCCATAGATTTTTTTTGCAGATGTCAGGATCTTGCCTATTTTGCCGTAGTAACCAATGGCAAAAAATCCGTCGTTTTCGGAAATCAGTTTCTCTTAAATGGTGCGTTTTACGACAGCGATATGGTCTAAAATTACAAGAGTCTAGCGGAAGGAAGTATGGATAGCTGGGATTTTAGTGCGCATGCCAAATGTATCGTAATGATTGCTAGTCTTTAAAGTCGGTTTTTTTTTTTAAAGATAAAAGTCAAAATGACATTATGTTGGCAATACAATGTAAAATTGTCAATGTTTTCAAATTTTTATGTAGAAAAGGCTTGTTGCCAACATAGTTACTAAATTTTTGACTTGGGGAATAATCTTTAAAAAAAAAACAGACTTTATGTTGATATTTTAAACGAAAAGGAGCTAATTGACGGAACCGAAACTAACCAAAATTAACTTTTCCTGGTGATAATCCTTAAAAAAAAACTGAATTCCCTTCAACGAGAATAGAACCCGGGAAGCCTACTTCAACTGGGCCACCATGCCATAGCAATCGTAGAAATCGAAGTAATAAGGTGTGTAGCACAACATTTGGCATGCGCACTAAACTTCATCTTTCCATTTCCTGCCACTAGACTCTTTACCTAAACTTATTGCGGCGCAAAATTTTCCTAGCTGACATTCTGTCTACATTTGTCTCTTTTTCAATTTCTCGTAATGAAACTTCTTCATTATTTACATTTTTGTAATTGACATATGCTGAAAACAAAATGGTAATTTAGAAATTCACTCGCCAATAAATAGGCGATTAGTTTACCTAGGACGTTCGTTCATTTCGGCTTCGTTGCCAGGTAAAGTGACAGTAGCTGCACGATTTCTAGGCTTATTAAAGGACCCAAATTCTCTCAGGTTCTTTTCCAATACCCCAAAATATCTTCGGTTGGGCATCCTTCTTTCTGGATATAAATTCTCATTCTCGTACGACTCTAGGGCAACGTTCAGGTTACGCATACTTCCAATATAAACCACGGACATATCAACTTTTTCGTCATTCGTAAACTCCATAATGAAAATTTCTGTAATCTTCTTTATTAACAATTATCATAAAATGACCAATTAATAAAGAAATGCTTTGACAAGTTGTGCAGTTGTCAATTTAATTTTTTTGTTTTTTGTCCTTCTTTGACAAAATTTATTTATTATTTATATTCCATATCAGTGTTGCCATTGCCAACCTGAATTTGTGAAATTACAATTAAAATTACTAGTTTCTAAGTAATTATTTTAATTAATATTCATAATTAGATAATTTTGAGTGTTCATACAAATTATTTTGTTAATTTTGTCCTAAATAATAAAGGAAAAAAAATACTTTTTAGACCGTCTTTGTCACAAATAACGAATTCTGGAGCCGAATTAAGATAAAATTTCAGTAAAAATCACTGATGATCACTTTTTAGAGCAGAAACGTCGGCCAATGATACCTAAGAAGTATATCGTTAAAAAGGGAATAAAGGGCGCTTTCTAAAAATAAAATAAAAAATCCAGGTCCGTATTCAAAAAAATGAAGTTGATGATGGTAGCTCGATCACGAAACGTCGGATTTGAAATTTGAAGATGCCATATTGTAGAGCGAAAAAAATTATAAAACTTGCAAATTTAAATTGTATCTCGAAAATCAATAGTTTTCAAAATAATTCAATAAATATTTTTCGGCGTTTTTCAGAAATCACCCTGTATTTCCTAAACTAAAGCGAATTTGGCAATACTGTAAACAAGTCTTGAATAAGCATTAAAAAAGGCAACTTTTTTCTAATTTAACTGACCTTGTAGCTCTTACCGTTTCGGATATAGCAATAGTGGTATCACTTAAAATATACACCCTGTATATCATATCATATCAAACACTTTATTAGCAATAAAAAGCTCTTACAAAATGATTTTATGAAATATTTTAAACCAGTAGGTATATACCCAACATGGAATGTCTGGAAAAGTATTCAACAAAGTCTATAAAGTTCTTACATATTTTTTACATTCAGTCTTAAATCTAGAGTAGGAGTCACATTGCTTCAATTCTGCGGGTATACTGTTAAACATTCTTAAGCCTACACTAAACAAAGTGTCACTCTGAAAATCACTAATGTAAAAAATATTTACCACACTGGATCGCGTTTGGTATGAATGAACATCTCGCACATAAGTAACTTCATCAGATAAATATGATGGTAACATATTATGTTTTAGTTTGAAAACAAAAGTTAGCATTATGTAAGTAGATCTTTGTTGTACATTCCATAAGGTCTAATTTCTCCAGCATGGATTTTATTGGTGTTCTTTTGTTACAAAGTAATATTGCTCTCATGCAACGATTTTGCAGTTTTTGTAGCATGTCTCTTTGAGTCAAACTTAGATAATGATACAATGTACCGCAATATTCAAAATGAGGAGCAATTATTGACTTAAAAATTGTGAGTTTAGCGAAAAGTGAAATCTTGTTATTCAATCTGTAAAAAAATCAATCAAAATTCTTTACACATCACTGGTCAGGTCCGTTCTTGAATTTTCATGCATAGTTTGGTCACCTTACTATCAGATCCACATCAATAGGCTTGAGAGTGTTCAACACAAATTTATTAAGTTTGCAAGGTACAAACTTTCTTTGAGTGGTGTAATTCTCAGTGATGACCTGACTATGACTTATTTAGACTTATCTACTCTTGTTCGCAGAAGGGAATATTTTGATGTCTGTTTTGCATTTAAAATTCTTAACTACTACATAAAAAGCCACGAATGTCTTGAATGTTTTAATCTACACATTCAAAGTTATCAGACACGAAGTAAATCTTTACTGCACATTCCTTACTGTCGAACCTGGTACCTACTATTCAGTCCTGCGAATAGAATATCTGCCAATGTAAATAAGTTCTGTGAGGGCCTTGAGTTCTTTGGTTTATCTCTGGATAAATTTAAGACGAAGGCCAGGAGAATTGTTTTAGGTTAGATTTTTTTTTTTAGATTTAAACTCTGTTCAACTTCAAATGTATTTTTCTTATACGTAAATAAATGAATAAAACCTGCTTTTTTGCTATTTTCTTTTTTATGTAGTCACAGTGCAAGGATAGATTAAGTTCGGGATCCAGCATTACACCCAAATATTTGAAAGATTTAACCTGTTCTAAGATATCGTTATTCATAATTATTTTTACTGCTACATTAGTACTTTGTCTTCGAACTTGATTAAGGCAATGTTTAGAACCAAGAATCATGAATTTCGTCTTTGCAACATTTAGTTTTAAACCATTTTCTATGAGCCACACATCAATATTTTCAAGATCTTTGTTTAACAGTTTTTCCATTAATGTTATTTCATCAATATCACAGACAAAATAAAGCAAAGTGTCATCTGCGAATAATTTTATTTGACAATGTTTGACATGAAGAACTATATCATTGATGAACAACAGGAAAAGAATAGGTCCCAATACTGAACCCTGAGGAACCCCTTGATCTATGCCTATGCTATTGGAATTGGCATTTTTAAATTTAACCTTCTGAAATCTCCCACTTAAGTATCCTTTGAACCATTTTAGTACTATGCCTCGAATACCATACTTTGCCAGTTTTAGTAACAAAAGATCAATGTTTACTGTCTCAAAAGCTCTACTGAGATCCAAAAATACTACACCAATGACTTTTTTCTTCTGTATTTGAGATTTCCAACCTGATATCAAAAACTGCAAAGCCGTTTCGCATGAATGTTTTTGTCTGTATCCTGATTGTTGCTCTACCAAAATATTAATTCTATCCAAATAATGAAGCAGCTGATCCTTCACCAGCAATTCCAAAACCTTTTCATAAACTGGTAATGTGTTTATGGGCCTATGCTCTGAACAAAGTATTGATTTTGGGACCTTTTCGATTGGGACTACAGTGGAACATTTCCAGGCATCAGGAAAAACTCCCTGTGATAGAGATGTATTTATCAAATCTAGGAAAAATTCTCCTGCAATATCAAGAGCTAATTTAAGCGTGTTCAAGTCGATTCCGTCTTGATCACTGGAGCCCTTCCCCATGCCTAAAACTTTCAAGGATAACATTTCCCAGTCAACTGATTGAAAGCTGTCGAAGGAACAACCAATTTGTGACATTCTTTCCAACACAAAATCTAAACCCTTTACATTTTTTGTTGATTTCACTAAGTCTCTAATGCTGTTTACAAAATAAGTGTTGAAATTATCTGCTATTTCCTGATCATTTTCCAAAATTACAGCTTCAAATTTTATTTTAGATATTTTTTCAACTTTTTTACCTGAAACTAACTCCTTTATTGCTTTCCACATATTTTTACTGTCATATTTATTATCATCAATTTTTTCCTCATAGTATTTTCGTGTTTCATGTCTCAATTTGGTTGTTACTTCATTTCTCACAATCTTGTAGTTGTTCCAATGTTCCTCAGTTCCCGATTCCTTTGCTAACCTAAATAACTGATCTTTATATTGTAAACTCATCATAAGATCATAGCTGAACCAAACTCTTAGCTTAAAATTATTAATTTCCTTAAATGGAGCGTGAACATTAAGCGCATCCACAATATTTCTTGTGAAAGTACCTGCTAAAATATTTATATCTTGACTACCTGATGACCAATTCAAAGTAAGCAAATATTGTTTGAAGTCATCTTTATGAAAATTTGAAAAGTTTCTTCTTATAATTACTTCTTTGGCATTATTTTTGGGTTTATTTATATTATATTATATCAAGTTTCCTGACCTTGTTTTTGAAAATGTATGTCAGTAAAATGATAATGGGTATTTAAAAAATAAATAGGAAATAGTGGATGGGTTTTGAATTTTAAAATAGTTCTATAAAAAAATTATCTTAGCTCAGAAACACTGTGCCATTTGTTTGTTTAATTTATTTTCACTAGTATTGATCTCGGCTGTAAAACAATGGCAACCATTGGAACATGGGGGGTTTCCCTTTAAGCAATTCCAGTTATTCCGTCTATTTTTATCCAAATAAACCATTAAAACCAGTATCTTTATCTTTTTCAGACTTCCCTTCAACTGGCCATCATTCACAATGCCGACATACAAATAGTTGAAATGCTGTTAAATGCAGGTGCCAACATTAGAGAAACAGACGAAGAAGGCAACAATATTTTCCATTTATTGGCCCAATTCGAACGACTAAACATGTTGCAAATTGTATTGAAACATTGCAAACTTTATAATTTGTTAGACTGCGCTGATAGGTATAACTATAACGGTACGTGAAGGTGATTCACAAATTAATAACCTTATTGAAAATAGCCCAACTTTTCTGGGGTCGATGATTTGATAAAAAAATCATTCTTATGTTTTAAAATTTTAAAATGTTATTTTATTTATTCTTCCGTTTCAGGACTTACACCTCTAATGATCTGCTGCATGTCGAGTTGGACCCTCGGAGCCAGACATTTCATCAAAGCCGGAGTAAAAGTGAACTTGCAAGATCAGTCTTCTGGGAGAACTGCCCTGTTCCACGCTTCAGAAATTCAAAATTGTAATGTGAATGTGATTTCCATCACTAGTAATTTTTCTTGATTAATTTGCCGACAACAATAATTATGTTCATTGTTGAATTGATTGATGATTGTGTTATTTTTTTTTGCAGCTGAATTAGTAAAAATTCTCTTAGAAGCTAGGGCGGATCCGAAAATTAAAAACTTCTTTGGTACAAGTCCACACGACGCCATGTACGAACTAGACGACATTGACGAGGGCATTAAAGGTTTAATATTTGGCAAAACTAAAAAACGGAGTCACGGTAAGTTCGGAATTAATTTTTTTTTTTTTCTAGATCCCGGTATTAATTTATTGCTTTTTTTTTCCTATATTAGATGCAGAATTGAACCCATCAAGGACCGCAAGAGCTGTCAAAGGTCTGCATACCTTTTCAAAGCTACAGAAACTCGATACCCAAACGATTAATGTGGAGACTGTATCGGCTAAGGCCGACGCTAAAGCCAAGCATAAGATAATACAGCACGCCATGAAGCATCATATAAAAAGGATGTAGGGTAGGTAAGTCCTTTTTCCGAATAATATACAGGGTGATTCCAAAATGGCGTATAAGCAGGTAATTGCCACACATACTGACATAATTGTCAATGTATCAAAACCAGTAAAACATTTCCTTCTTCTTTTGGTGCTGTGCCTGTCTTCAGGCATGGGCTATCTCGATGACAATCTGGTTGAATTGCTCTCTATCTACCCTACTACCAGTTTGGTCCAATTTTTATTGTTTCGTAGCCATGATAGTTTTTGGAGACCTTTCCATCTCCTGCCCTCAACCTTTCCCTGGATGATCAGGCGAGGGATGTGATATTTGATGTCTCGCATCATATTTCCGAAATAACTAACCTTTCTTATTTTTATGGTGTTCCGAAGTTCTCGGTCCTTATTCAGCAGTCTTAGTACCTCTTCATTGCTGGTATGTGCGGTCCAAGGGATTTTGAGGATTCTCCGATAGTACCATATTTCCAACGCTTCTATTTTGTTCATGGTGTCAGCTTTAAGCGTCCATGTCTCACGTCTGTACAAGAGAATGCTCCATACGTAACAGCTGAGTGTTCTTAACCGCGTCTGGACTGTGAGGTTTCTATTGGTGAGAGTCGGTTTCCATTTATTAAAAGCCCTCCGTGCCATTCCAATCCTTGCTTTCACCTCTTCGTTGCATGTAGCTTCACTGTTCAGCAAGCTGCCCAAGTATTTGAAATGTGGAACTAGTTCAATGTTATGTCCGTTAATTGTAATCAGTTGGTTCGATGATTATTTTACCTACGGTCATCCATTTCGTTTTCTTAATGTACCCCATCTTTGGCTAGCCTCATGTACTCTATCCAGCAGTATTTGCAAGTCTTCCATGTTCCCCGCAATGATGGCAGTGTCATCTGCGTATCTTAAGCTGTTTATTATTTCGCCTCCTATCTTTACTCCCTCTGCCCTGTCATGTAAAGTCTCATGAAATATGTTCTCTGAATAGAGGTTGAACAACAGGGGTGACAGAACACATCCTTGTTTTACGTCACTTTTTATTGGTATTTCATCATCTGTAACGCTGTCAGCCAGCTTGACTACAGCTATTTGACTATGATACAGGTTTATCAAAATGCATATCATAATAGTCTAAGTTATATGATTTTAGACATTGAAAAAGTTTGGTTTAGTCCAAATTGTTCCCTGCCAATATTGTGTTCACATTTGGTGTATGTTCTATTGAGAAGTATCTTTAGGAGTATTTTTAAAGTGAGACTCATTAGGCTGATTAGTCGGAAGTCATTACATCTATTACCTTTTTTTTTGGGTAAGGCGATAAAGATCAATTTCTGCCAGTCATCGGGAAGTTTCCCAGTTTGGTAAACCTGGTTGAAGAATGCCGTTAGAATAGATATGCCTTCGCCATCGAGTAGTTTTATTATATAGCAATTTCATCGGCTCCTGAAGTTTTTCTTGCTTTTGACTGGTGTATTGCCTTTTGAACTTCAGATTTGAGAATGCTTGGACTATGCTCTGTCATATAATCAGTCAATAGATTCTCTGGTGTTTCGTGAGTCTCGTTCTCTAACAGTTGTTGAATATACTGCTGCCATTCATTACTCTGTTCTTCCTTTGTTTACAGTGCTTATTCACCATTGTTATACATCACTGTTGTGGTTTTCTTTCTTTTTGTATATGCCAGAAAGTTCTTTTATCTTTTTATGTAAGTTAAAGTCATTGTGCATGGTTTCAAGCTGTTCTATTTCTTTGCAGGATTTCCGGAGCCACACTTTTTTTGCTTCCCTAATTTTTTTGCGTATTATCCAATGTATTCTCTTGTACTCACTATGATTGTTGTTTTTGTCACTCCTCCATAAGGTTCAACATGTCCTGCGTCATTCATTCTTTTTTGCATCTTTTCCCCTTTAATTTTACCGGCTGCTGAACTCTTCCATTTCTCAAAGCAGTTTTGAGATTTCGCCTATTTTCTTCGACGCTTTCGTTATCAAGGGGAAGTGCGGTATATGTAGTTGTATGTATATTACCATTTATTTTCTTGATTAGTCCTTCAATGGTTTCGGGGTCCTTTAGTATAATGTTTTTGTATTTTTGAGGTCTTCGATGGTTGTTTTTTTTTTTTGTAATTTTACGCCTAGTACGGAGCAGAGCAAGTTATGATCAGAGTGCACGTCAGCTCCAGGATAGGTTTTCGTTGACTTATTGCAATACCGGAATCGCTGGTTGATCAGGATGAAGTCGATCTGATTTCTTACAATGTTGTTCTGTATGTGTTGGGGGGACGTCCATGTGTACAGTATCCTGTATGGAAGATTGTACCACATATTTGTAATCACGAATTCTTCTTCTGTTGTTTTTCTGCCCACTTTTGCATTCTAATCTCCCATAATTATAGTGATTTTGTGTTTTTTTGTCGCCTTCACTATGTCTTTAATTTGTTGGTAGAACTCTTCGACTTCGTCAACATCATGGTCAGTAGTAGGGGCATAGACCTGAATAATGTTCACATTTACAGGTAGGTCTCATCACCAGCTGTAGTAGCATTACTCGATCAACATTTTACATACCTGCAAAAATCGGAAGTAAATTCTTAATAAATCACAGTTTCTTGTTACTAACAAAGCTACTGAAAATGATTACTTATCGGAAAATAAAATAAATAAAAAGGCGAGACAACGTTTCACAAGAATTGAACATCAAGAGAAAGTGAGCAATTATACCACATACTATAACTTACATAATAATATGTACTTACAATTTTGTGGTGACTTAGAATAGCTAGCAGCTGTTCTTTTAGTGGAAAATTGATAGTTCTGACATGTTGTCCCTTGTTTTTCCAATAATTATTTCCATTTGTGTTGATTCATATATATTTTTCTTTTGAAATTTTAGGCCTAAATTGAACTGATTATGCAAATTACCATCTATAATTCACATTAATCATCGGAATGAGTATTAAGTCTCAAGGAGGAAGGATCATGATTTCCCTTAGGATACAGAAAAAAAAAACAGAAATGATTTAGGGTGAATATCATCCAAATAGATTTTTATGAGGCGAGTAACATGAAAAACCACCAACGAAGAGTCTCTTTTTTTGCTTTTTTTATGCATTGTGTTATTATTGAGAAATCACCATAGTGGCAATTTGGATAACACTGTTTGCGACTTTTGACTTAGTGTTAAGGATTAACTTGAATATTTATTTTATTAAACAATGGTATTTCTTATTATATTCAAAATTTATTATGTACATACGTTTATTGTTAAAGTAAGATCCAATATTAATGTTAAGTACCGTTCTAGAATTTATTTTATTATTTGCTACCAATTTTTAGGTTTATCAAAAGTGAATGACTTTTGGTATCCCTTTTTCCAGGTGCTAAATCCCGCAACAATCTGAATTATTTATTCGTTACGTCATTTTTGTTTAGGTAATTATTTTTAATGCAATGGCACCCAATATAACCAAAATCATCAGTTTATTTGTGATTCACCAAATAAAAACCTATGCTCTGGTAATTTTATACAGACCAGACCAATCTACTAGACATATAGGGATTAAGAAAACGAATTAGCTTATTTGCCAACAAAATGCAGTTAAACAAGTATCAGTCAACTGGTCTCATTGAAGCCTATGTGTCTAGTAGCCTGGTTTGGAAATCATCTAATGCAAATGCAATTTATGAAGACTTTTTAAAACTTTTATTTGTGATTTTGGTTATTATTGGGGTCAATCTCATAGGTAAGGCCTAAGCTTATATATTCTTAGGTCTATAAAGTGTACAGTGGACTTTTCAAACGGTTAATATAGATAAGTATAAATTCAATTTGTATATAATATGCATAGGAAAATCTGTAACTTTTTCTCATGATTATATTTTCTTTGATAACGTTATGTGTAGTATACAGGGTGATCGTTTTATATTTTTGGATCCTTATATAGATAAGCGGTGTAAATACAAAAGATGTAAGGATTTTTATTTTTAGGGACAAAACAACAGAATATGCCAAAGTTGGACTTTTTCAAATAAAATATCCCGATTAATTTGAGTGAGGGTCAAAATATCTATGATCACCCTATACATAATTGGTTTTTATTGTTTAAACTGCATGCAGTGCGAGTTTTGATCTCGTATTGATTTGTGTCTTGGTAATTATTGGCAAATACCAAATCCTCGCTAGGCTGATGAAAATTAGAAATCAGATGCGACTTTGCAAGTTATTGTAATTTACTTAAAAACAAAAAATATTATTTTTTAAAAATTTTTTGCTCTAAGTGCAAATTTATTTATGTATTATACCTTTTCATTATCACAATTTTAATTTCTTCAATTATTCGGAATCTACTTTTAATTTGTTTCAACTTTTTATGTCTACAATTTATTTGAATAGGTATATAGGTTTTTTTTTTTTTTTTAATGGTATAAGTAGTATTCTGTACATACATTTCAGATATTAAATTCTATGAAGACAATTTTAAGAAACTTGCCCTATAATTTTTTTGACTTGTATTTATTTAATTACCATTGTTTAAAAGTTTATTTATCTTTAAATTTTCCAAAAGCTTATTTGATGTTTTCAGTTATATTACGATTACGATTGATAAGTTAATATAAATCAATTAAAAAAAGAGCCTAATTGTGTTTTATTTGATACCTCTGTAGATTAATTGGGGGTATGTGAGTGAGAATTATCGAAAGTGAGTGCTACTTTGATAAATTAGTTTTGTGTAAAAATTTAAAAAAAATGCTTTAGACAGCTTGCACAGATGTTGAGTAGATATTAAAGTAAGATAAAAGTGAAAATGAAATTGAAGAAATTTCACATATAATCATGACATTTTCTAAAACTAGTACCTACACTTAGCCAGTGGCAATCCTCGCAAATGGTTCATGTGGCCCAAAGAAATCAAGTTCACTCAGCTGATTGCACAATCCGAGAGTACAAGGCATGAAAGAATGATAAATAATATAAATATTCGTAATTGGTTCTGTGGAATTGCTGGTGGAATATTTGAGTTGTGCGGGTGCTGCGAAAGGGGACATGTAAATCAATTCGGGATGTTAAGTATGGAAAGTTAATAGAATTATGAATAGTTTTTAAGTCTCCATGCTTTCTTCTGCGGGAAAGGGTTGTCAGATTTCAGATTTAGTTCAGCGCAGAGGTTTGCATAATGAAATTCTTGGTTATTGAAAAATTTGTAAATCAAGTATCTGATGAAGTTGCGCTGTACCTACATTATCGATGTATATGGCAGGTGTAGTTTGGACTCCATACTGATGTAGCATAAGCATCAAGATGAGTACGGAAAAATATTGTTTTGATGGAGCTAATATTCACGAGTCCCTTGTACTGCGTTTCACAAAACCCAGCATAGCATTTGAAGCGCCCTATTGATATATGATCAGAATTCAGAAGTCGGTAGTGTGTCCACTTTTGAGTTCGCAGCATATGGGAAACTTTTTTATTATCATTTTTACGAAAAAAAGTTGTTCTTTATAAAAGTTTCTGCTTCTTGAAAAAATAATATTTAACTACTTAAACTTGAAATAGCATGTACAGGGTGGTCAAAAAATAGAAAAATATACAGGGTGTTTCCCAAGTATGGTTCGTAACTTCAGGATGTGATTCCTTAGAATATTTTAAGAAAAAAGTTCCCATAAATATGTGTAGTTTCTGAGATACAGGGTGTCAAAGTTTTAGAAAAAAACGATTTTTTAGCTCAAACATCCCTTTTCCATTTTATTTTTTTTTCAAATTTTGCAGGTTTGTTTGTGATAAAGAAATGTATCTATTGACTGTAATATGACTTGCTTAATCTGAAAAAAATATCAAAGGTTTTAAAAAACAGTTAAAATATTTCCGTTTATTATTTATTACAGAGCAGCGGCGGGATAGTGCTCACGGTATCCGAAAGAGACTGATTCGTTAATTATTAATAAATTAATTTGTTTTACGTGTCTATAAACTAAAAACGTAATATAGAGTAGAAATTTAAATGAATGTAATATAGTGTAAAAAGTTAATTGTTATTTAAATTTTGAATTAAGTGATTTAAAATGGGGAAACGTAAACATAGGTGTTTTTCCAGCTCTAGTAGTAAGTAGGTATAGTTCGGATTCAGACTAGACTGTAATGATGTCGGACGCTACAATAAAGAAAACAAAAACTCGAGACGTGCTAGACAACGCAGTCCGAGCGCAAAGAAGTGACGACAGAAACGTAAGTCAGCAAAATAGTGATAGAAACACACCGCCTTTACGCAATCTGTTTGCTATTGAAGATGCTGGACTTGTAGACGTTACAATAAACAGTAGCTCTTCAGTCGGCAGTGACAGAGACTGCATCAAAAATCTAGAGGACGTAATAACGAAATTGCTGATGGATAAAAATAAAACGTACGTATCAGTGCAAGCTGACTGTATTCCAGAATTTAGACCAGGACAACCTAATATGAGTTGTACTAAATAGTTGACCAAAATTCTTTTAATTAATGCTTTTCCAGATCATCGAGATTTTTCAACCGCATTAAAATCCATGATTAATCGGCATAAGCTTCCGGACGAAGAATGGACTCAATATTTTTTTGAAAAAAATCAACTATTACGCCAATGTGAAATTTCAGGCAAAAATGCTATGTCCATGATTGATGGAATAAAAGATGCAACAATAGAGTCAGGTGCTAGATCTGGACGCTACACCAGACCTGAGGACTTGTACAGGGACTTTTTGTCTACTTTAGCCGCAGAAACACCTAGTGCAAAAACTCAAAGGGATCAAAAGCCGATTTTTCCAGAAGCAACAGATGCTAACCCAGAATTAAATAGGGTGAAAGTACCTGTTAGCCGGCCACCCCCTGTTGTCGGACACTTTACGACAAAATATCCAATAAATAGGAAAATATTATATCAAACCCTTTTTTAAAGTAATACCTACTTTCAGACACTATTTCCCCACCAGTTTTTGTAATACCGCCCTCTTTACGGGCCTAGACCAAATTAAGATATAATAATATGTCGGCTGTTTTTCCCAACACAGCCCTTTTGATCAAGTGAAGAAATTTGCTAGTGTGAAGCTAAGAAGGAAATAGTAAGTAAAAATGTACCTACTCCATTTTTCGATACTTTCTTGATGTTTTTAAGTTATAAACATGTTAATTCACAATTATAACCATAAAAATTAAATAAATATTAATATTTTGTTTATTTTATTAACTGTCCGGATAACCGGTCCTATAAATCGGCAGACTCCTCTTCTCGGCCACTCTGTCCGACAATTGGTCCGGCACGTTGAAACTATATGTATCTTTTTCTAGCCTATTCGATTTTCAACTTAATTTTCCTTATTAGATAGGTACATTAGACGACTGTATCGAGATTCTATGGACCAGTTTGCGGACACTATAAACCACAAAGGCGTCAAATTGTAGTATACCTGAAAAAATGTCCGAGAAAAGGTAAGTGTAAAGTTCTCGGACATTTTACATTACTTATATGGGTATGGGGTTTGGGGTAGTGCTTTCTGCTTTCATTTTAATAAAAAAGTGTGACAAGTGTACAGAGAATAAATCTGATAAAAGTATTTATGAAATAGAAATTGAAGAAGCAATGGAAAAATCTCCTTTTAAAGATCAAAGCGATTCTCGTGGAACTGAAAAACCTGATAAAACAACAGACATAGGACTGTAGGCTCAAAAAAAACTCCCATTAAACTGCCAAATGTTGCCGTTGTTGTAAGTCCTTCCAACCTATCAAATAAGAGCCAAGAAAACAAAAAAAAAGAGAAATTATCAAGTGCAATCTCATCGAAGGCATGGAGATTTATGAAAGAAAGGAACAAGAAAAAGAAAAAAAAAAAAACTTAAAGCACAAAAAAAGAAAAAAGAGGAAAGACTAGAGAAACAAAATACCAAAAAAAGTGCAAACAATGATGGAAGAAAAAGAAAATTGACTAAAAATTCCAAAATAAAATATTGGTTGTGGGAAGTGCCCAAACTGGTACCATTTAGCATGTACTAGTTTATGTGGACGAAAAAACGTATTTCTCGGACACGCGTCCGACAACGGGTCCTTTTGTGTCCGAGAAATGTGATGATTGTCCGACAACAGGCAAAATGCATGTTTTTAAATAAAAGCATTTTTCTATAAAAATACAAAACCTTTTAGCCTTTTTTGTTGCAGCAATCAATTTTAAATACTATAAGGTATCATAAAACATTATTTAAATTCGATTCGCTCTATCCACTAATTTTCAATCGCCATTTTATTCCAGAATTTGCCTTAAGTGGCCGACAACAGTTACTTTCACCCTATCCGATCAAGAAAAAAAGGGCTGCAAATGTCACGATACTGGACATTTCCAACGTGATTTCCCCAAGCCCAGGAAAGAGTGCACTATATGCAAAAGGTTAGGACACACAGTCACCGAACGTAGTAGAAATAAGCCTAGCTCGTCAAAGACCATATTTATATCTGAAACTAATCAAAAACGTAGTTCGGAAGTTTGGATACAGGTTTGCGACGTAGTCACGATTAGAGAGAACGAAGCACTGCAAGTAGGACTAAACTGGCAACCTTGTAGCGTTGCTATAAATGGATATGGTGAAGCCAAAACGTTAGCATTGGGCAAGGGACTAGTCACACTCAAGGTTGATCTATTCCCTGCAGAGGTGTCTATCCTTATATTGTACAAAATCATCTTCAGGCAATGGCAGTCTTAATGCAGTGTTGGTAATGCGAGACAATGAACTAAGACTTTTCGACGAAGCTATGATTTCATTACCTCAATTAGAAAACCTTCCTGCAAGCATTCAGTTGGTGTGTAAAAAGCCAATCTATACCATTTGAACCATATCGGACTAATAAATTGTGCTCCAGTGGACTCCTATGAAGGTGGTATTCTCTTGGAACTGAGACAATCGTTGAAACCACAAGCGGAATACGTGACACCAAGATGTGTTACCTCTATAGTTTCCGGTTTGCATTTTTCCGTTTCCCATTTTTCCGTTTCCCATTTGGTTACCGCTACATGGAGCGCTAATCATTTAGGACTTGTAAAATTATATCAGATTGGGATTTCAAATTAAGATTGTAGCGCCGCGGTGGCGAATAGCTCAACTACTTTCTAGTACATTGATTCATAACCTCAATCAACAGAAAAAAATGACAACGATAATGAAATGAATTGCAGTGCAATGAATGTCTGCAGACGAGCGCAGAGGGTGTGCGCTGATGGTCTAATAGGAAACGCGACGTCAGATACAATTTACAAGTCCTTCATTATAAGCGCTCCATGTAGCGGCAGACATGTGCGCTGGTCTAATAGGAAACGCGATGCCAGCGATATAATTTCACAAGTCCTAAAGGATAAGCGCTTCATGTAGCGGTAACCAAATAGGAAACGGAAAAATGCTTTCGGTTTAGTGCTTTTGCTCAATGTGTCAGAAAGACCAATTTATTACTTTAACGAGGAACAACTAGTTGTCCATGGAGTGCCTTGTCTTCCTGACGTAAAAATAACCGAGGACTCTCAGGTAAGCGTTAACACTTTATATACGTACAATTGGTCAAAATTCACTCAAAACGATATTATGAGGCAAGTTAGTCCTGCTATTGGTAAAGA